CTGACTATTTTCTGCATTTTTTGTTCTCAAATAATGCACACTTGACACACAGCTGAAAAATAAATGTTCATTTTCACACCAGAGGGATTCTATTCAGAGTTGGTCGGAATGGCTGGTCCACATCCTGTGGGCAGGAGTGCTCACGGGTACAGGCCTACTGCAGGGCAGACTGCAAATAGTTCGCTTCTGACCCAAAAACTCCACTTCAAGAAACCACTTCTAGGGAAATCATTAAGAACTAGCACAGAGACCAGGCTGGGAAGGTGTTCATCACAGCCTCAGGCGTCATGCTAAAAACAACCTACATGTCCAAAAATAGAGGCTTTTCAGTGAATACATCCATTCATCCAAACAATAAAGTGGTGGCTGCTAAGTATGGCCAACGTGTACGTATGGTCAGGGAACGTGTTTATGGTTTGCAGCAAAGTGGAAGAAGCAGGCCACAGAGCAGAATACGGGCTATAATCTCAGTTTTACCCAAAAAGTCACAAATAAGTAAGTGTAGAGAGGTCTGGAAGGGAACACACTAAAATGCTAACAGAGGCTGGCTGTGGGTAGACAGGCAGATATTTTTATGCTCTTTTGACTTGTCTGCATTTCTGATGCTGGTATGGTGCGCATGTATGTCATCTATATTAAGAACACCGCAATGAAGTTTGGGGGAGAGGGCAGGGAGTAACCCAGGGACAAGAAGCAGCTCTGGTGGCTGCCCAGGACAGGGTCACGACAGGCAGGGCCTGGAGGCGGCGGGGCTGCTGAGAGGAGGGGCCAGGCAGCTCAGGCCAGGGGGGCCAGGAGGGCCAGGTCAGACGCCTCAGACCCCTTCTGTTGACCGCAGGCGTAAGTTTCAAAGTACTTCCCTACGAAGGCTTCTGAGTGCTTCTGTCAGAGTATGCCTCGCCCGGTTTTTGGAGCAGAGAGACTTAGATTGACTGGCTGAAGAATCGCAGAGCAGAATGGCGGTGAGGGCTATCTGACAGCGGGATCTCATCAACGGCTTCCCCCTCCTGCAGATGACAGATTCCCCACGCCCCCACCCACCCCCAGGGGCAGCTCCCTGAGGGGCAGCCCAGAGCCCCAGCGGGCATGCTTCCATCTTCCTGGGGAAGCCAGGGCCGCTGCCACAATGCCAAAAACGAGCATGACGCCAAGAAGGAAACCACCCGAGAGGAGCCTCTCCCTCAGGCACTGGTCAGAGTCCATCTCGTGCCCATGCTCAGGGCTGGGAGACTCAGTCTCTGAGGGAAGGGCAGGTGCACCCACACTTTCCTATTTTGGGGTGTAAATCCGAGCTAAAGTTCCGTTTCCTCTGGGGTCCCAACAGGAGACAGCCTCTGGAGCGTATAACCGCCGGCCACCCGAAGGTTGTCCACGAGCCTCAGCATCTTTTGACACCACCCAGGTTCCCGGGGTGAGCGGATGGTGCAGAGAAGCGTGGCCACCTGATGAAGCCGGTTGGGGGTGGCCGTGCGGCCTCCCTGCACCTTGGGCTGGTGGGAGGGCCAATCCCAGGTGCCTCTTCCCAGGACACCTTGGCAGTGGACGTCTTAGGTCTTCTGGCTTCAGGCTGATGAAGCTAAGCTGAGGGGCCTGCGGGTAGGAAGACGCTCAGTTTTCAAGCTGGGAGAGTGGGCTGAGACCAGGACCTCTGAGGAGACAGGTTCTCCATTTAAAGAGCAGGGCTCACAGAGGGGCTCTGCACAGCCTCCGCACCCTGCCCTGCACACTGCCCACTGCAGGGGGCAGGGGTCGCGCTCCGCCTGGCGCCGCAGAGCCGGGCGCTCACACACAGGACGGGCGTCCCAGGAGGGCTGTGGGGCCAGGCACGTGGCGAGGAAGCAGAAGAGGAGTAGCAGGCTCCAGGGGAACGGAAGGTCCCAGAAACTCAGCCCCCACCTCCCCTGCCCTTCTCATCTGAGGAGGGGCAGTGAGTGCTGCGGCCGGAGCGGAGGAAGGCCGCCATGCAGCCGCCAGGTGGGGCCCTGGCCGGTGGCCAAGAAGGGAAGTCCAGTCAGCAGACAGCCTCCTCCCCAGAGCCTGAGCCTCAGCCGCACTGCCCCCTCCTCGGGTATGTAGGCCCGTCCTTGAGCAGACAGGGTGCTGTGAGCTGTTCTTGGTCTCAAAGGGGCACTCACTTAACCAACCAATGATCCATTCCAACGGTAACTCTGTTACTGGGCCCAGCTCCAAAGTCTTCCGGCTCAGCCTGGGCCAGCCTGGTGCCCAGGACCACCAACCGCTTCTCCTGTCTAAGCATCCCTTCCGGCCTCAAATCTGTGTGTGATCTCCCCTTCAAGATTTCCCTCGAAATCCATCCATCCCAGGTCCCTGATCTTGAAAGCCAAATCTCCTGCCCACACAGATGACAGGCGACTGCCTCCCCCTCCTAACTGGAGCTACCTGGGCATCGGATGAGGTCTATATCCACTTGAGAACAAGCCCACAGGATACACAGGAACAAAAACAGCTAAAAGCTGTTGATGTGCCAGGAAGTGATGACACTTCACACACATTGTCTCATTCCCTATCAGCAGGGCAGGACTCCCAGTCGCTGAAACGCGTTCATTGGGTGGCCCCCCGCATCTGGCCACGCGAGGTGAGGCGCAGAGGCCCCAGCCTGACTGTGACCTGCCCTGTGTGATAGGTGTCTGGGCAGAAACCCAAGCAGGGAATTTTCTAGTGATGTAAGTTCATTGAAAACTCACACAAGCACCCAATGTGTTCCAGACATCCAGAAACAAAGGAGCTGGCCAGGACCAGTACACAAACAAATAAAACAGAGTTCTTGTGTTGGAGAAACTCGCAGACTGGCAAGTTGATGATGGCACAACAATCCTAACACCCATTTCTCACGTAGGTCTAGTCTACTAGACAGAGGGACTGTGAAGATGGGGGTGCTTCCCAGGATCCAGAGGGGCTTCACAGAAGACAGGCCAGAGAGCTTGAGGCACAGGCCAGGACCCCTGGAGGCGGCCCAAAGACCGGCACCACAAACCGCCCAGGTGCTGTCGAGACCAGCACCTTTCCCAGCCAGCGGAGATGTTCAGAAGATTCACCAGAGGAACGTGGCAGTGTGCAGTCCCTGGGAGGTTGGTGAACACGCCATCCACTGACAGAGCTCTGGGTGCGCCATGGGCTGAGCAGGACAACTGAGTCAGACAGCAGGCAGCACACCGTGGCCAGGTGCGCTGCTGTTCCGCAGGGTCCAGCCAGCCAGCCAGCACCCGGTCTCTGTGCCAGCCACCGTCAGCCACGGAGGAGAGGAGCTATTCACATGGCCCCTTCCTTCTTACCACATTGCTGCCTCTAAAAATCCAATTTGAAGTGTCCCTCTTCCTCCAGGAAGCTTTCCTGAACCTGCTGGCCCGCAGTGACCTCTTCTACCTGTTACTCGGGGCTGGCTTTTACCATTAGCTCAGGGCTGAGATTCTAAAATCCCATTTAGTAAACATTCAGCTTGTGCCCGATGCTGTTAAGTGCTTCATTTACTTTGCTTGACCCTCACAACTCCACAAGTGGTGCTTATACCCATTTTATAGATGAGGAAATGGTGGTTGGAAAAATCAAATGCTGTGTGTGGCCTACTCCTCTGTCATTTTCTTTCCTTGAACCGTACTCGCTTACATTTGGCTACCAACTCCTGCTGGCAGCTGGGCTGGCACCGACCCCGCCTTCCTCGGAGCCCAGAGCAGAGTCAAATGCTGACGAGTGACTGTTACCTTGACCGTCATAGGTGGCACCGAGCCTCAACCAACCCACATTAGTGAATAAAATGTGGTCGGCCAAAGGGCTGGCGGAGCAGCGAGTAAGGTCCCTGTGCTGCAGGCTTTCCGATACTGTGGTCACTTCATTCAAAGCTGCTTCACTCTAATGAAAAAACACAATCCCAGCTGACACTGCAGTGAAGGACCTCCTTCAAGAACAGCTTTCACCCTGTGTCACTGGTTTAAAGCCACAGTTTCTTCAAACATCCACAAAAACTCACACAACTCAACAGAGAGAAAACAAACAACCCAATGAAAAATGGGCAGAACTAAACAGACACAGAAGGGGGGGTGGGAGAAGTCACATGGAAAACCCTCCTCCTCACTTATCTTCAGGAAAATGCAAATCAAAACCACAATGAGACAGCAGCTCATATCTGCAAGGCCCACATGAAAGGACCAGAAACAAGGGGCTGGCCAGGGTGTGCACAGAAAAGAACCTCCTTACACTGTCAGTGGAACATGGTCCCGCCCTGTGGGAAACTGTGGATGTTTCTCAAATACTAAAAAACGTATCTGCGTGTAATTCACTTGCCGGCATTTCTCCAAGAGAATAAGAACACTAATTTGAAGGAATTTATGCATTCCTATGCTCACTGCAGCCCGATTTACAGAAGCCAAGTTATGGAACAACCCACGTGTCCACGGCGACGCAAGGCTGAGGTCTGTAGGCACAGCCGCACACTACCGGCAATTACAAGAAGTGCAATCTTACCATCTGTGACAACATGGGCAGAACTGGAGTGAAGTAAATGAGAAATACCAGACGATTTTACCCATGTGTGGGATATAAACAAACAAAACAAAGGGGCGAAGCTAGACAAAGCAAGCCCTAGAAACATGGCCGCCCGAGGGGAGGGGGAGGGGAGGGGAGGGGCCATCAAAGAGGAGGAGGGCCCAGGGGTGCCTTGGCGGCGCGTGCGGTAGGGCGACATGCATCGGAGGGCATGAACCTGAGCCCCCAAATCACATACAGTGTCGTCAACCATTGCTTCAGTTAAAAACAATACAATTATTTTAAAAAGTGTCAAAGAACCTGGCACGAGGTTAAGTGAGCCCTTCGGATGCGCCCAAGTATCTTCATTACTAAGAGGAGTCCTCGCTTAAGTTGCACATTAATTACCAGGAGACTTTACTGCAATGTTCTTCTTCCATTTCCTTTCAGGGCAACTGAAGACCAGGCACAGCCAAGGCACAGGCCAGGGGTCCCCCCGCGAGCAGAAGGCCAGGCCTCACCTTTGGTGGCGAAGGCTTCGGCGATCATCCGCAGCCTGTACGGGGCCGCGGCTGTCAGCGGCAGGTCGTCGAGGCCCACCCGGGCATAAATGTTGAGCGCTTCTTTATAATCTCCTTCCACGTAATTCAACTTGGCCATGATCAGACTGGACTCTTGTAGGAATTCTGACTAGAAAAACAATGAGAGAAAATAACGTTTTCCTATGCTATCACGCGGGCTGCCGGCTCAGGGCCAGCCTGCCGCTCTCCAGAAACACAGGCGCGTGCACACCTCAGCTCTGTCCACAGTAGCCCGCAGGTGAACCAGCCCAGGCGGCCACTCTGAGGCAGGAAGAGGTAAGTCCAGTGCGGACCTCACTGTGCCCCTGGGGGGCGGGGGGCAGGGAGGGGCGGGCCCGGGCCTGCTAACACCGCTGGTGAACCCCAGCAACAGGGTGCCGGCTAGAAAGGCAGTCTGCAAGGTTCCCTCACAACGAAATGGCCAGAACCGTCAAATCCGCAGAGGCAGAACTTCAGTTACTCTTTGCTGGGAAGGTGAGTGGAAAGGAAGGTGACTGCCAGGTCCACGGGGGCTCTCCGCGGTGATGATGAAATGGCCTGAAGTGAAGCAGTGGTGGCAGAACTCTGACTCCACCAAAAACCAGTGGCGTGTACCCTGGATTAGTGCACCGTGGGGGTTACGTGACAGGTGAGTTACAGCTCAATAACGTTTTTGCCAAACAAATCCCTGAGGCTCCTCTCAAGGCCAGGGCTGAGTCGAGTGAGAACAGCAGGAATGTTCTATGAGCAAAACATATAAGCACCTGTCTCACAGAAGGAGGTGGCAGAGACTTCCTCCTGGGGGTTCCTGCCCACTAGCCTGGCAGTGAACCCCAAGTAATCTCAAGGAAGAGGCTTTCCAAATTGGTGCAAAAATCGGGACTTGCTTTCTTCCCAGGGCTTCAGGGGCAAACTTCTCTCCTTCAGCCTTTCCGACACGATGAGGTTAACTGACTCCTCCACATCCACCCCGCCCCAATTCCTGCCCCTTCCGGAAGGTTCTGCCGGCCCCTGGCGGGCTCTCCTGCCTCTCCAGGCAGAAGAGGGTGGCTTTCCCAGTCCACACCCACCAGCTCATCCTCTACCCTTCCCCTCCTATGTCTGGACAAAGAAGGGACAACTCAGATTCTATATAAGGGAAAAGATTTATCCCTCCTCCCAGGGCTTCTCAGTAGAACCCAAGCCACACCGGGCTCACTTCCGCTTTCGGACACAGGCCAGCAAAGCAGCACTGCTCTAGCCTCCGGCTGTGGCGGGGAGCCGCACACCGGTGACCAGCCAGAGCAAGACCAAGCAGCTGCAGTGGCCTGGCCAGGAGCTTCCAGACATTTCTCGAAAGGAGACAAGCAGGGAGAGGGCTGAGGAAGCAAGACAGGGTGATGAGTAGCCCCAGAGAGAGGCGGCAGTCAAGAAAGGACAACAGCACATGGGACGAGAGAAATCAAAGTGGAAAAGGGCGGTGCTGGGGGAAAGCACCCACCCAGGGCTTCTGCACAGCGGAGTAAGTGGAGACGGGCGGAAGCAGGCCTAGTGCACTGACGGGCTTCCCATGAGAGTCCGAGTCTCCCCTCAGCGCCTGCAGCGCCAGGCTTAAAGTCTGAGGGGGCGGAGGGAGGGAGTCAGTGCTCCCCCCGGACACAGTGTCCCTTCAGGCCGATGAAGAAGCTCCGGAGCTGGAGGAGGTCGAACAAGGCACTTAAAGCCCCTGTGCAGAGCACTTCATCATGGTCACAATGGTGAGTTCTATGTGACACATACAAGAAGACAAATTTAACTAAAACTGAAAAAAAAAAATCGCCAGTTAAGTAAACTGAAGCATGGAGCATCTACAGGAGCCTGATGAAGATGACAAGTGCCAGGGCTCAGTGTGGACACCGGGGGGCTGGCTGGGCGCGTCCAGCAGAGCCTCCTCTGCAGCGAGAAGAGCTCGGCCACGGCCACTGGGTGCAGGGCTGGGAGGTCAGCTCCAGCGGATGTCCGCGCTGCCATGCCCACGGCCGGACTCTCTTAACGGGAGTCAGGGCGGCCGCCCGACTCGGCGCTTCTACCACAGCGGCTGCCCCAACCGGGGGCCTCTGCCTGACTCCCATGCACTTGGAGGGAATCTGTGTCTGTACCAGGCTCCACCACCGCCCGGGGCCATGCCCATGCACGGTCAAGAACAGAGGGTATTTCACGTTAGCCAGGGCTGAGCGGTGTTCCGACAGTCTGCAGAAGGTACAGGAAGCTAAGCTATGGAGATGGGGAAGAATTCTCTAGGGGAGATATTAGCAAATATTAGCAACAGACACGTGTCTCTAGCCAGGTGCAATGATGTGGCGAGTTCTACAACTGAGCCTCAAGGCAACCTGAGCCACGTACGCTTGCAGATGAGAAACCTGAGACTCGGAGAGGTAAGGTAACTTCCCCAAATCACACAGCTAATAAACCGAAAACCCACGAACTGTAACTTGAAACTCATTGTTCGTACCCATATTGGGTTATAGAAGATGCAGAACAAAAACTATCAGCACCTCATAAAATCACAGGTTGTGTTTTCCAGATGTGGCCAGGGGGTTAGAAATAGAAATAAGAAAGAAGCCAGCCGGACACCAGGCCTGGACGGCTGCGTCCCCCGCCCCCTCCCACATATGGTCTCCTGCCGTCGCCGCCGGAGGAACACTGGGCGTGACTGGCTCTCAGCTGTGGCCCCTCCTTCCCTCGGTCCCCCCACTCTTGCCCACCAGTCAGACCATCAGGGGACCTCTAACTCAGCAGAAATAACAAGAAAAAAGACCCATTTAAAAAAGTGGACACAGGACTTGAGCAGACATCTCTCCAAAGAAGCGACATAAACGGCAGCAGGCACAGGAAAAGATACTGAGCATCACTAATCGGCAGGTGGCATCTCAGCACTCAGTGAGCTACAGCCTCGGGACTACTACGAGGGTTATTAGCTTAAAAAACAAATAAACCAGAAAATAAAATAGTAAATGCTGGCAGGAATGTAACTGAACGCTTGTACTTGTTGGTACGAGTACAGTAAGGCCTCCCTGTTAGCCTGTTAGCCTGGGGCTTAGTCTCAGCGCTATCACCACTGGGCCTGAGCTCGATCCCCGGCCAGGAGCTGACTCACACGGGGCGGCGGGTTTTTCTTTTTTGGCCGGTTGTTCCCTTCGCAGTGTATTTCAGTAAATTGGCCTGTTCTGCTCCCCACCCTGTCTCTGGTGAATCCTCTCACCACCAGCACCCCACACCTTTGGCCTAAACGCCAATTCTTCTGTGCAAGTAAGTAAATAAAAATAAATAAGAGTAAAATAGTACAGCTACTAAGGAAAATAGTATGATGATTCCTCAAAATATTAAAATAAAATTACTATGAAATCCAGCAATCCCATCTCTGGGTCTATACCCAAAGAACTGAAAACAGGATCTCGAAGAGATATTCATTTACCACATTCCTAACTGGATTTTCCACAAGAGCTAAAAGGTAGAAGCAAGTGTAAGCCCCAGAAAATATGGTAGGTATACACTCTGGGAAACTACCCAGTCTTAAAAAAGGAAGGAAATTCTGAAATATGCTACAAATGGATGAACCTTGAGGTCATTATGCTAAAAGCCAGTCATAAGAAAACAAAAAATATATGATGCCACTAATATGAGATACGTGGAGTAGTCAAGGTCATAGAGACAGAAAAAAAAGGATGCCAGGAGCTGGCGGGGTGGCAGAGGACTGGGAGAATGAGGAGTAATGTTTAGGGGGGCAGAACTTGAGATCTGCAGGATGGAAACAGTTAGGGGATGGATGGTGGCGATGGTCACACAATGTCAATTAAGCCACTGAGCTGTACACTTAGAAGTGGCTGAGCGAGGCCACCCTGGTGGCCGAGGGATTAAGCCTCAGCGCTATCACCGCTAGGGTTCGATCCCCGGCCAGGGAAGTGACCCACACATGACGCAGCAGACCTCTCCTGTCTCCCCACTGCTCCCCTAAGCAGTGTATTTCAGTAGATCCACCTGTTCTACTCCCCATTCTGTCTCTGGCAAATCCTCTCACCACCTATACCTCTGGTCTACACCCCAGTTCTTGTATACATAAATAAATAAAAATAAATCTTAAAAAAAAAATAGCTGAGTGGTGTTATTGATATATACATTACCATGATTAGGAAAATGGGCGTGGAGGGGAACAGAGAGGAAGGAAAACGGACATAAAGTTGGAACTTCAGGTGTTCACCAACTGCCCATCCTCAAAAGAAAACACATCCTTGACTAAAAAAAAGGACCCAGAAGGAGCAGGCCAAAACGGGCTGGGCTGCAGTCAGCAGTCTGAGCAGTGACCTCAGGAAAGCAGGAAGAGCCAGGCTCTCAGGAAGTCAGCTGAGGGGAGGGGAGGGGCAGTGAAGGCGAGATGAAGGGATTCAAAGAAACGAGAATGGGAAGACCAGAGAGGGAAGCTGAATATAAACCCGACCAGACAGCAGGGCTGATGGCAGAGGGCGGCATTCCAGGGCTCCTGACAGTAAGGCTCGGGTACACGGCCACCCCGGCAGCGGGCAGCTTCAGGGTCACCCCCAGACAGCAGTGAGGACCAGGTCTCCCAGGCACAGCACAGGGCAGGCCTGCCGTCACCAACAAGCCCACAGCTGCAGGCCAGGGCAGCCTGGCGCAGACCCAGGCCACTCGGGAGCCGGTGGCGGTGCTCCCGACCAGCCTTCTCTTTTTCAGAGAGGGGCCAAGTGTCAGGTGCGCTCTGGGCACACACACACAGCTTTATTCCAAGCGCCTGGGGGAGAGGGGTGCCATTTTTCCGGGTAGCGTATCATTAGAGACTCTCACCAGAGTCCCTCCAGCACAGTCCCCACGCGGGGTAGGCCAGCTCTGAGGCCCACAGGTCAACAGCAGGGAGCAGGCCTGCTGCTGAGACCAGCCTCTGGGCACAGTCCAGGCCACGCCTGGGCACGCTCCCCACCCTCCACTGCCCACTGGCCCCCTCGTCCCTGAGGCCCGCAGTACCTTGAGGTTCCCTCGGTCCAGGGCGGCCGTCAGGTGCTTGCGGACCTCCGTGAGCTGGGGCCTGGGGCCCCTGGGACTGGCTCCCTGCCGCAGCGGGTGTTCCTTCAGGTGCTGCTCCAGCTTCGACTCCCCAAGGAGGAGCTCTGCCATGTCATCTACAAAGACAAAGTGACAGCTAAACAGGAGGGTCACTGGTCTCCGGGCCCACCGCCCCTAGGTCCCCAGCAAGGCAGCGGACGCTCGTCACCTGCCGTGGAGCCTGGGCAGGCACCGGCTGACACTGCCTTCTCTCCCCTCTAAAGCCAGCCCTGAAGCACGAGTCTGCGCAGGTGGTAGGCTGGGACCCGTCATCCTTGGCCGCAGCTCGACTCTGGAAGGACGCACGGTGCGTACTTACATGGGAGAGCTTGAGTTTGGAAGAAAAAACAAAGTCTCCAGCCTGTTCGGTGGGATCTTTGCAAAGCGCACACAAAACCCAACACTCCGTGCCCTCGAGGACAAAGCCCGCGGGGTCCGAGCTTCCCCGGGGCCTGGCCTCGGGGGTGGCGGCGAGCAGGTGGGTGTCTCTACAGTGGACTCTCCAAGAAGACCCGAAAGCAGGCCCCTGCGCCTGCCGCAAAGCCAAGAGCACAGACATGAGAGCCTGGGAACGCTGTGGGAAGGTGTCACTCCTAAGAGAAGCTACTGAGAGCTGTGTTGTGCTCCACACTGGCTGGCTAATGAAAGCAGAAGCTCACTCCAGAGGCAGCTCTTTGGAATCCAGCACCCAGACTCAATGCACCCGAACAACTCCCACAGCAGCCTGAGTGCCGTCCCGCTCTCCGGGACGGGTCAGAGCCCAGGCGGGCGAGAAAACAAGCCATTAAAATGAAAGGCCTGGGAGGGTGAACGGCCCGTCCCTGACGGGGGCTACATGGAGGTGGCGGGCGTGGAGGTGGAGGGCGGAGGGAAGGACCTCAACTGGGCTAGTGACCAAAAGGGACTCAGCTCTGTCGTTAACATTCTGGCCCAAAATGGGGACAGATCTGTCGATAATGTGAACGGTCTAAAATTAACTGCAAACTGCACTCAAGGGCCCGCGGGGGTGCCGGTGCTGGTCCATCAAAGCCGAGCCGTGCAAGCACTGTGGTCAGCGACGCAGCCACATCTATGGCTCCTGGCAGTGCCTGGCCGGCATGCTGGGAGGCCTAAAATAATCTTTTGGAGGTGTGACCTGGGGGCCCGGGGGTTCAAGCAACACAGAAGCAGGCCGGGGGTGAAGCGACTGAAGGCAGGAATTCTCTAGCTGTCCATGAAGAAAAAGCAAACCACCTACAAGCTGAGGATGGGCAGGACACAGCAGCACCCACCACCCCAAGGCGAAGAAGCCAGCCGGAGGGCGCGGGCACAGCTTCAGGCCCAGCCAGCAGGGCGGGGCGGGGGGCAAGAGCAGCAGCCTGCAGACAGGGCTTGGAGAAGGCAGCCAGCTCGGATG